GTGTGTGCAATACAAGTAATTTGTTTACTTGTGTTGTCTCTCCAACACTTGTGTTAGAGTTGTGTACTCTAAGTTTTTCCTCAACAATTGGTATCAGAGCGGTACGATCAGGGACCGTCTCTAGTGAAGTTTTTTTAGAATCGTGAGAAGTTTACTACTTCACAAGATTATTCGTTAAGGTTGTTCGGTTTATCGAAGTTCTGTCGACACGATGGGAGATCTTCAAGTTGTTGGAGGAATCAAGAAGTTGAACAACAAAAATTACAATACATGGGCGACGTGTATGAAGTCTTACCTACAAGGCCAAGATCTTTGGGATGTTGTCGGCGGTAATGAAATTACGCAGCCGGAAGAAGACACTAGTGGCATTTTGAGGAAGTGGAAGATGAAGGTAGGTAAGGCCATGTTTACCTTAAAAACCACAGTTGAAGATGACATGTTAGAGCACATACGGAAGGCCAAGACACCAAAAGAAGCGTGGGACACCTTCGCCACACTCTTTTCAAAGAAGAATGATACAAGACTGCAACTTCTCGAGAACGAGCTGCTATCGATGGCCCAACGAGACATGACAATTGCTGAATATTTCCACAAGGTAAAGTCTATTTGTCGTGAAATTTCTGAGTTAGATCCTAGTGCTGCCATTGTAGAATCCAGGATAAAAAGAATAATTATCCATGGATTGAGACACGAATATCGAGGCTTCGTTATCGCTGTACAAGGATGGCCGACCCAACCATCACTTGTTGAGTTCGAGAATTTGCTTGCCAATCAAGAAGCTTTGGCAAAGCAAATGGGAGGGGTCTCGTTAAAAGGTGAAGAGGAAGCGCTCTACACTAAAAGTAAAGGCAGTTTTAAGCAGCGTGCTCGTGGTGGATCGAAAATAAATGGTGACAAGGCGAAATGTCATCAAGGAAGAGGGAGTTCTCGACCAGGGGGAGCTCCGAAGTATCACGACAACCATGGTCAGTCCCAGAATAATAAAAGGTTTGAGGGCAAGTGTTACAATTGTGGAAAGAAGGGCCACATGGCAAATGATTGCTGGTTCAAAAAGCCCGCAGAGAGTAACGTCGCCAACTCAAAGAAGAAAAGTGAAGATGATTGGGGCACCGTAGCATATCTAGCTATGGAGGAAGAATGGGACGCTGAAGCATCTTCTTGATGGTGCTCAGAAGATGAGGTGTTCCCTGACTCAAGAGAGATTAAGGATACGTTGCAGGAGGAAATGGGAGACCAAGCTGCCCAAACCCAAACAAGTCTAGATGAGCTCTAGGAATTGCTTGATGGTGACAATGTCAAGCAAGAAGTACCTAAGAGTCATTGGCAAACTGAAGAAGTTAGACCTAGTGAAGTGGAAGTATCGTTTCCACGATCACAACTAAGTAGGTCAACGGGAATAACGGAGTCAAATCCCAAATGCGCCAACGCAACCATAGTAGAAGAAGCAGTTGAAGCTGAGATGCGTATTGAAGCATCACAGAATTCTGAATGGCGTAAAGCTAGGAGAAGAGGTCGTTGCGTTAAAGAAATATCAAACTCGGGATCCAGTGGTAAGGCCAAGAGATGTGAAACCCATATCATGCAAATGGGTGTTCAAGATAAAGCGTCGACTGAGCGAGAAGAAAAGAATGAGCTGATGTTGAGAGGGAGTGTTAAAGATCAACACCAGCCCATTAAGATCAGTCGGTACAAAGGAACTAGATTGGTCTAGTTCAAACATGCATGGTTTTCTCTAGAAGATTCTATAATGGGAATATGCTAGAAAACTCTAGCAAAGAAGGTTGTTCCTTAAGTTGGTGGAAGATTCTAGAAGAATAGTGAGGTTTCCACCAACATGCAAGATTAGTGTAGATAATTCTAGCTTGGGAAGTTAGTAGAATTATCTAGATAACTCTAGCATGATGTTTCCATGCTTCTCCAATGTTCCATCCATGCCTATAAAAGGAGAAGGCATCCACACCATTTGTATCAACCAAGTAATCAAGTAACCAACCAAGTGAGAGTGAGAAGTAAGAGTAGCCTTGTGAGGAGTGTGAGTGATCTAGAATGTGTCTCTAGAAAGTGAGTGAGTGTCATTGCTTCTAAAGTGTGTCTTTGAGTGTTGTGAGTGTTGTAATGTTTTGTGTGTGTAATACAAGTAATTTATTTACTTGTGTTGTCTCTCCAACACTTGTGTTAGAGTTGTGTACTCTAAGTTTTTCCTCAACATTCTGCTTGTTTTCTTGGAGATATAGATGTCATTTTGATCAGTGGGAATGCGGACAGCAGAAGGAGCATATAAGGAAATGTCATGGTTTTGAGTTGCAGTATGATATGTTTTTTCGCCAGTTTGTATGCGTCACAAATAAATATCGGAGCTGTATGGTGCAGAGTTTCTAATCCTTTCTTTACGCTTGGAATTTCTAAAAGGATTTTCAACTCAATCAAGAGCTGTATGGTGCCAGTGTTGACTGACCCGGTCTAGTCTTCCCGTCAATCGTGGAGTTGACGAATATAATATCTGGCATGAACGTCAAGCGTGTTGGTTGAGGCATGTTAACGTAAGTCACACACGAAGACGGGTGCAGTCTCTCCTGTGGCAACTCCAAGATTTGATACTACGGACCCATGTTCCTCCAAGAAGTGGGTTGTGGGGTGTAAGCTGGGCTTGGGTTTAAAGTTTCGAAGCGGGTGGTTGGCATTGGTGTTTGGATCAGATTGAGATGGGTTGGTGTCGGTGTCGGTGGGTATGAGATTTAGTAAAAGGAAACCACACACAGATTGAAGAAGGAAGGGGTAGGTTCTGCGTCATCGATCGTCATCCTTTCCGCTTTTCGTTTTCTTTTTGTTTCCTAGAAATCTCTCTAATTTTCTTTTCGTTTTCGATACAGAAATGTTCTAGCCATTTTTTTCCAATCGATCCCTTTCAGGGATTCAATTTCTCCACTTGGATTCGCCCTCCAGTCGCTTATATTGCTTCTTATAAGAAGAAAGACAACTCTGTGCAATATTTGTTAATATGATTCTTCTAAATATTAATTTAATGTAATTGTTTGCCTTGTATTTTTGGCTTTTGGAATTATCATGTTTGATGGTTATTTTGTGTTTCGGTTAAAGCATTGGTCTGTCTCATTTTTCATGGTGAAGAAATCTGCGAAGTACTCCGTGGTACTCTCTCTCTCTCTCTATCCTTCTGACACGCCTCGATCTAGATATCCGCAAATATAGGATAGACACATGCCGACCAACATGTGAGGGTGACGAAGCCATTAAAAACATGCATAAAACTAAAATAAGTAATTAGAAAGGACTACATCTATGCAGAACTGTGTTCAGAGCATATAACTAATCAAGAATAATATGAAAGAATCATTATGAAATAAATGGGATTACCAAGAAAGTGGGTCCTACACCGAGAGGGCTCAAAGATACGTATGCAGAAATGCCCGAACGCCATAATTGTATGCCTCGATTCTCACTCTTGAGGGGCGTAAAACAAAAAAAAATGAGTGGACCAAAGTTTATAATAATAATACTAATAATACGAAAACCGATTTCTTACTGAACATACTAACCTCCTGTTTTGAAAACGTATATAGTAGTTAGTTTTCTGAAAACTCTAGCATGCTATGAAACCATTCGTAAAAAAGTATGAGTAAAACTATGCTCAATAACGGTGCTATCATCGCCCGAAGGCAAATCCATAAATCTCATCAATATTGTACTCTTTAGGAGTATCATAGTTGCCTGAAGGCAGTACCTGTCCATCACTTGAAGGTGAAGCTATACGACACTGGGTTACGCCAGTGAAGAAACATGATGGGCGCATCACCCGAAGGTGAAGCTGTACAACTCTGAGTTATGACAGTGAAGAAATATATAACATCACACACCGACACTAGTTGTGGCTAGTGAAACTACTCGACATTGGTTTCACCAATGAAGCTGGGGATATGGCATAATTATCTCACTCCTCATTCGCCAATGAAAAATGCATATGCATCACGATGTTCCTCATTCGCCAATGAAAAATGCATATGCACCGCTATGTGAACATCGTGACTTCTCGTGTCTAAAAAAAATCATGATTTCCTATGATTTCTCATGTCTAAGTCATAGTCATGATTTCCTATTGCAAAACATATTCATATTGAGCAATTTCTATGACATTAGTACACCATGATTATAACTTCTCGTGTCAGTCATGCAACGCAATGTGAATAAAAATACGAAACAAATCTTTTTCGTGTCGAAATCGAAACTTTCACTCCAACATTCATCCTTAAATGTTTGGGTTCATTAATCAAATATAAAAATCTAAAAAAAGTGACAATAAAATGCATGATAACCAAAAGAATTGGACCCAGCAGAATAAAAAATGGGCCAAGAAGTGAAAGGGAACCCAACCCAACCCAACCAAATCGAAATTTTCTTTTGTTTGTGCGTTATTTTAGTCATTCGGCTCACAATTTGGGGATTTAGGGTTTCGTAGATATGAAAATGCCACGTGATTAAAGCCCGCGCTTAAGCGGTGAGCCTTGCAAGTTTGCAACGTTAACATCCAATTCCCAAACCAAACGGTCATATTTTCTTCCGTATAAATTTCAAATCCTCTCTCTCTCTCTCTCTCTCTAGATCTCTCTCAAGATCTTTCTCTCTCGCTCTCTCTGTGCGTTCTCTCTCTCGCTCTCTCTGTGCGTTCTCTCTCTCGCTCTCTCTGCGCGTTCGAATTTGAACCAGAACTAGAATTCAGTGCTCCAACAGTCTCCGGTTGAATTGAATTACAGAATACTCGAAATTTCAGTTGCTCTTGTTTGGGGACGAAGACGGCGATTGAGGAGGCGTCGACGAGCTGCTCTCCTCGGCGAGCGAGTGAAATCGGCTTCCAGGTTTCCCTTTTTCTTCTCTTTAATTTCTCCCGCTTATTTCTCTTCTTTATTTTGTGCCCAATAAAAAATTAGGGTTTTTGCTGCTGCATTTGTTTTGTTTTGAATTGCATTGAATTGAAATAGCGTTTAACAATGGAGGTGGGTTATTACGGTATGCCATTGGGTTTTCGGTTTCATCCTACTGATCAAGAATTGGTCAGTTCCTATCTTCGCGATAGAGCCCTCTCCGGAAAGCCCTTGGGCAACCCGTTTGTTCACGAGTTCAATCTCTTTGGACAAACACCACCCTGGGTGGTTTGGGAGCAATTCGGTGGAAATTCCCTACTCGATCAGGACTTGTTCTTCTTCTACGAGCTGCGTTCTAGAAGCGACAGCGATAGCCGCAGCAAACGCCGGATCGAAGCCGGAGGCACTTGGAGCGAAACATCCTCCGACAAAGTTTTAGGTTTGGACGGAATTCCAATCGGGGATAAAGGACATTTCAGGTATAACAACAAGGGTTCTAACAACAATGGCGGCTGGCTGTTAGAAGAGTACAGTCTTCTTTCTAATGTAGTTGCTGGCCCAAGGGTCGTTCTTTCCCGACTTAAAAGGAATCTGAGGTCTAGGTCCGAAAACAAGATGAATTCCTCAAGTCCAACTCATGACTTCAATGAGAAGCCGCCGATTAAGAGGGCAAGAAAAGAAGTATCGAATGAGAAGCTGCTGATTAAGAGAAAGAGAGCAAGAAAAGAACCGGGTTCACATAAACATTCTAATGTGAATGTGATCACCAATACCCCTGCTGTTGTGCCTTTTGTTGGAACTGAAAGCAATATGATTACTGACACTAGGTATCAGGATCAGGAGTGCATAACCAACATTAACAGCAATGTGAAGCCGGTTGATTTCTCTGATCAGGATAGTGTGATATTGATGAGTGATGTTTGATAGGAGTATATTTATGCGACTTAATTGGCTTGTTCTCGTGCGTTTACGTTGTGTTTCTTTAGTTATTTTAGTGTTTAAAGCCATTTTCATTTGTTTGTAGGTCTTAATAACAACCTTGGCAAGAAAAGTGCATTTTGGTACATGTTGGATCAATATTGGGCTCAAATGGATTGCATGCATGAGGATGGACGTTTTGGGCATATGTGTGTGCAAGTGTGTGTGTGTAATTGCAAGGATAAACAATGACAACTCATACACATGCAAACTCAAGGCAAGAGATGGAGAAAGCACATGCAAAGAAGCCCACATGCAAAGTGAAAGGGACACACACGGCAAAGGGGAAGGAAATGGTGTGTTTTGTGGTTGAAATAATGAAGAGCATGTGTGTGTGCAAGTGTGACAGCTTGCACATGTGGAGATGATGACTAGATGGCAGCACACACACATGAGAATGCAAGGAAACACACGGCATGGGCAGCAGGAAATCAGAAAATGAAGACTGAAGATGTGGAAATGATGATTACATGGACATCCAACATATTCGTCAAAACTGCCTGTGCAGATTAGCTGACTTTGGAAGCATGTTACGAACAGCTCCGAATGAATGAGAGAATGAGCCTTATATGCTTGGAAAGCTACGGATATCTACTTTCTGGAGCAATTTACAGATTGTTAATATCATTTTTCTAGAAGAAGTTATGGGCATTTTAACACTGAAAGGTTCAGAAACGGGCTAAGCAGATTTGGCTAATAAAATGAGAAAGTAAAGGCACTTGTTTTGTGTTTTGCTTTGTCATCAACACTCAACAGCAAATGGGGTTATGATTACACTCATTTGTCTTTGGAGCAAGTGGAAATGCACAGCTAGAAGAGAAGGCACAACACATGCAAAGGATAGGAGAAACATGGGCTGAAAATAGGTGGATTGGTGGTTGAAATGATGAAGCATGTGTGTGTAAATGTAAAGGAAAACATGGCAGAAAATGTGTGTGTTTTATGGTGGAAATGATGAAGCATGTGTGTGTAAATGTAAAGAGGAAACATGACAACACACACCCACACAAGCTACACATGCAAAGGAAATGGAGTGATCATCTCTCAAAGCCTATAAATACCACCTCCCATATTCATAAAAAAAACAGATTTTGATCCTTGTTTGGCCGAAAATTCCCACCTCCATTCTCTCCAAATTCAGCCAAAAACCACCCCTAGCCACACCACCCATCAATCCTAAACCTTTCCATACCATTCCCCATCCATTCTACACCATAAAAACCACCCAAAACCGTCCAAAACCTCTAGTGCCGCAACTTGCAAGGAAGGAAGGAGAAGGAACATCTTGTGCCGTGCCTAAGCCCAAGCCTTGGGAGTGTTGGAGCGTTTCTAGGTGTTTTCTATCTTTGTTTTTAATGTCTAAATTTATGCATTTTTTCTTTGTGAGTATGAGGAACTAAACCCCTCTTAGTTAGGGGGTGATTCGAAACTATGTTCATACTTGCAATATGATTTGATTACATCCAGTTGTGATTCATAAGTTGTGAATTCAATTTACTTATCCGTTCGTATAAAAACTAATTTGTGTATGTTGGTTGAGAGTGCACACTTAATTTTCATGCATGAATTTGACGCTAGAATATAAGGGAGTCTCACCTAATCGTTATGAACTTATATTCACAAGTAGTGAAGGTTGCTAGTCACAATCACGTTAAGTAAATTCTTGGCATAAGTTTCATGCAAATCATAGTAACGAGTGCCTCGTCAATGCTTATGTTTTTCATAGAACTAAATGATTCTTGCTTGTATCTCTATTATGCAATTCATGTAGGGAACTTGTAGGGAATGTTTTGGGTTGTCGTATGCAATCATCCAACCTAATAACTTGTGGAAAAACTGAGGGTTAATTAGTGCAATTCACGGTTAATTTGGGGCGTTGAGTATTCATAGCTTATCGAAAAGCAACTGGAAATCGTTTTGTATGCAAGTGTGACATGTGTGGAGAAGAACCTCCTAGCTAGCCTTCCATCCATAAGTTTCATTCAAATTCATTTACAATCTGTTTTGTTTTACAAAGTTTGTTTTGTTTTCAAATTCGTCAAAACCAATTCCGCCTTTATTTTGAAGTGTTAGATTAGTTAGAAATCAATTTAGTTTGTGTTTTTAAGTGTCTTGAGTCAAGTTATAACATATTTTCGTTCAAATTCTTCCTTAGTGTTCAAAACTGCCCATATTGTGTTTTTAAGGCAGTTTTGAGTGTTTAGGTGCTGTTTTGAGTCTTTTGGTTTGTTTTAGTGTTTTAAAGTATAGTTATGCATTCTTTGAGTCTAGTTTAGTGTTTTAAACTTTGTTTTTACATTTTCAAGTCAGTTTCCAAGTGATTTAGCAATCCCTCCTAATCCCCGGCCTAGAACGATCCCTACTTACATACTTGCTACAATTGATAAAAAGAGGGTTTAATTTGTGTGCTTATAAATTTCGCATCAATGTTCCTTCTTATCCCATATGCTTGGACGGCGACACTAGCAATCACGACCAGGGGTGCATAAGCTACATTAACGGAAATGTGATGCCCATTCCTACTCATATTTCAGATCATGAATATGTGCCACTGATGAGTGATGTTCCTTCTTCTCCGGTATTCTTGGGCGGTGAGGAATATCCTTTAGATGGTGAAGCAGTGCGTGGAGACATTAAGGAATGGTTGACAACGCTTGAAGGTAAATTGCCCCGGGAGTGGCCTCAAATTGACAAATTCAGCCAACCGTTAGACGGGTTCAATTACTGGACAGACTGTTTGTGGATGAGCGATTCTGTGAATGATGAATAGAGGGACGTAGAGGTGACAGCAGCTGTCTAATTTCCATGGCATGCATATAGAAGCACAGTTATGATCAGGATAGATTTTATTTCCGTTCTTAGTATATATGCTTTGATTTCTTTTGGTTCATTAGTTAATTAAGAAATTTGGTATAGGTGTTTACCTGGGCCTTCTTCTCTGCCGTACTGATCCATTGCCTGCCTTTTCACCCAATCATGTGTATGTATGTGCTTCTAGGATTGTTGCCAATTTTAATGCACTGAATGCTTATAAATACATTTCTTTTCTACCCAAGTTTCATACTTTTTTCTATTGACAAAGGGTATCAAGGTGGATGATTTCAATTACTGCGCCCAATTTTAAAATCAAATTAATGTCCTTTTCCTTTGAATTACTCTCTCTGCATGTGTGGCTTGTTAGTGTGTGCATGTTCTGTGTATTATGCTTGAATTTTGATGGTAAGATGGTGCGTTAAGTGTTCAGTGTGAATTTGAATGTGTTGATAGTTTTGTTGATGAGACAATTATCATGTTTCTTGCCACTGTTTCTAGAGATGGGAAAAATGATTTACACATGGTCTTTATAGATTTGGAAAAAGCGTATGATAGGGTCCCAAGAGACATTCTTTGGAGGATTTTAGAGAAGAAAAGAGTACGAGTAGCATATATCCAAGCTTATAAGATATGTATGAAGGAGCAAAGATGCCGTAAGAACTCATGAAGGACAAACCGAAAGCTTTCCCATAACTGTAGGATTACATCAAGGCTCATCCTTAAGTCCTTACCTTTTTTGCGTTGGTAATGGATGAGTTAACAGGACATATTCAAGATGATATTCCTTGGTGTATGCTTTTCGCAGACGATATAGTGTTGATAGATGAAACTCAGGAAGGGGTAAATGCAAAGCTTAACCTTTGGAGAGAAGTGTTGGAATCTAAAGGTCTTCGCCTAAGCCGATCAAAGACAGAATATATGGAGTGCAAGTTCAGTGCAAATGGAGGCCAAAACGAGTTAGGGGTGAGGATCGGAGATCAAGAAATACCAAAGGCGACCGTTTTTCGTTACTAGGATCTATCTTGCAAAAGAACGGAGAATTAGATGGAGATCTCAACCATAGA